CTAAGGGGAAAGTCTCCCACACAAGGTTAGGCAAGCCACTTACCTCGAACCGCTCAAATCACCTCGATAACACGTTCTTGCCACGAGTATCCGACTCCAAATGGCCCGAATCTATTCAAATAAATTTCATAATATAAATATAACCACAAATAACTAATTTAGCTAATTAATTCGAAGCTAAAGCATGAAATTAGGGAAAACGCCCAAAAAGTCACCCCGGGCCCACATCTCAAAATTGGGTAAAAGTCGCAAAATACGAACACCCATTCACTCACGAGTTTACTCATACCAAAATTGATCAAATCCGATACCAAAATCTCGATCAAAACCCCAAAATTCGGCCTAAGAATCTTTCTCAATTTTTCACCCCAAATCCAAAATTAAATGATGAAATCAATCATAAATTAGTGGAATATAACCATAAAGGAGTTAGGAATTATTACCCAAAAACTTCCTCCGAAAATCTCTCCAAATTTTGCCTTCTACTGAGCTCTCAATTAAATTTTTTATGTTATGAACTCAACCCTCATTTTTGAACCTTAAATTCTGCCCAGGTGCGTTCTTCTTCGCGAACGCGACATCACGATCGCGAACGCGATGAACAATCTTCCACTAGCCTAAAATTCCTCCTTCGCGAACGCGAGGGGAATCTCGCGAACGTGTACCTTCCACTGACGGACCCTTCGCGAACGCGGGAACCTCTTTGCGAACGTGTAGGCTTAATGCCTGAAGCTTCCTCTGCCCCATTCCTCTACGCGAACGCGAGGACCATATCGCGAACGCGTAGGCTTAAGGTCCCATACCTTCGAGAAAGTGGGAACAACATCGCGAACGCGAAGAACAACTTTACTGCCTTTCCCAGATGCTCTATGCGATCGCGAGACAGCTCTCGCAAACGCGATGAAGGATTTTTCTGCAATAAAACACTAGAAATCTGCCACTTCTTTAAGTCCAAAGATGACTCGTTGAGCATCCAAAAGACACCCGAGGCTCCCGGGACCTCGACCAAACATACCAACCAATCTTAAAACACCATACGTACTTAGTCGAGCTCTCAAATCACATCAAACAATGCTAAAATCACGAATCACCCTCCAATTCAAACTTAAAGAACTTGAAACTTCAAAATTCTACAACCGATGCCGAAACCTATTAAATCACATCCGATTGACCTCAAATTTTACACACAAGTCATAATAAATATTACGGACCTACTCTAACTTTCGGAATCGAAAAACGACCCCGATATCAAAAATTGCACTACCTATTTTCCCTTTCTTTATTGAGAGCTATGAGAGTAGAGAGGTTCATGACTGAGTGAGGCTGAGGGCATGTTTGTGAGGTATTGTACCTTATCACGTGAGTTATCTTTGCGTATTCTGATGTGATATGATGGCACGTCAGTTGTCCGTACGGGCCTTGATATGATATTATAGCACGTGAGTTGTTCGTGCAGCACGTGAGTTATCCGCGCGAATTATAGCGCTTGGGCTGTAGGAGCCCCTCATGAGTCTGAACACCCCCAGTGTATGAAAGTACCTATTGAGCGTGTGCATTGAGGGATGAGAGTTGAGTGTCGAGTTATTGAGGGTTCGAGTGCCAGTGTCTGTGAGGTTTCATCTATTTCACTTTGTTGCTGCATTTAGCTGATAATTGTCTCGCAGGAATTGGTAATTATGCAACTGATCTTATACTCATGTTTATTCTTAACTGTGAAAATTATCAACTGAATTGTTCTGTATAGCTCGTCACTACTTCTCAATTCCTTATTTATTGTTGTTACATAATGAGTTGGTTGTACTCATACTACACCCTACGCTACATGTGCAGATCCAGGAGTGTCTGCGCATGGAGACTGTTGATTCCAGGCCTGTTTGAGTTTCATAGACTGCAAGGTAGCTGCCAGCGTCTACAAGACCTTATTACTCCTTCCATATTTCTTTCCATTTGTAATGATATTTAGACATTAGTTGTAATAGTTTTATATACTTAGACGCTCATGACTTGGTGACACCCCGATGTTTGGGGCTCGTTTTCTGCACTTCGTTTCCAATTTGAGTTTAACTTTGATTTTATGAAAACATTCCTGATATGGAAAGATTTACTTTCTTTTATATTTCGTTTGGAAGTATTTTTTGGAAGGTCGTCTTGCCTAGTACCACCGATAGGCGCCATCATGACACGTTAGGTTTCGGGTCGTGACAAGTTAGTATCAGAGCCTAGGTTACATAGGTCTCAAGAGTCATGAGCGGGTTAGTAGAGTCTTGCGGATCGGTACGGAGATGTCTGTACTTATCTTCGAGAGGCTGCAGAACCCTTAGGAAAATTTTACATTCTTGGATTCTTGTCGTGCGAATCTGTCTATTCTGGTAACTAAACACTTGTTGTTTCATTCTCTAACCGATAGTGAGGACTCGTGCTACCGGTCAGGAGGGCTAGCCACCAGTTCCACCAGCCATGGCCGCGAGAGGCTGAGGCCGCGGTAGAGGCCATGGTAGAGGCAGAGGTGCAGCCCGCACAACAGCTGGGGTAGTACCTGCAGATCCACTAGTTGTCCCAGATTAAGACCAGATTCCAGTTATTGATGCACCAGCTCAGGCACCATATGTGCCTATTGTGATTCCAGGCCTTCAGGAGTCCTTAGCTCAGATTCTGACCGAGTGTACCAGTCTTGCTCAGGCGGTCTCTATTCCAACCGCAGCAGCCATTTCTCAGGCTGGGGGAGGTGCTCAATCTCCCGCTGCCCGCACACCAGAGCAGGTGGTATAGGGATTCCAGACACCGGGAGCACCACCAGCCCAGCCGGTTGCAGCTGCTCAAGATTATGTGGTTCCTGCTATGCCTGAGGTTGATCATCGTAGGTTGGAGAGGTTTGGGAGACTCCAGCCTCCACCTTTTAGTGGCACAGAGAGAGAGGATGCCCAGGACTTCTTGGACATGTGTCAGAGGATACTCTGTACAGCTGGTATTCTGGAGACTTGTGGGGTCTCATTCACTACCTTTCAGTTTTCTGGGGCTGCACTTAGATGGTGGGAGACTTACGAGAGGTGTAGGCCTGTTGGCGCAGCACCCCTTACTTGGAAGCAGTTCTCCGTGGTCTTTTGGAAACGTTCGTGCCTCAGTTCCGCAGAAAGGAGCTGCGTAGACAGTTTGAGCAGCTTCGCCAAGGTGATATGTCTGTGACGCAATATGAGATGTGATTCTCGAAGTTGGCCCGTCATGCTATCTGGTTGGTTCCCACAGATAAGGAGAGGATCATGAGGTTTTTCGATGGTCTCATTTTTCAGCTACGATTGCTTATGATCAGAGAGAGAGGGTGTTTGGTGCTACCTTTGATGAGGTTGTCAACATTGCTTGGCAGATTGAGATGGTTCGCGATTAGGAGAGGGTTGAGAGGGAGGCCAAGAGGCCTTGTGGTCAGGGTGGATTCAGCGGTGCTCCTTCTGGGGTTCAGTTCCAGCACGGTAGAGGTCGTCATTTCAGACATGCTCAGTTAGCTCGGCCACTTCACCGTGGTGCGTCATCTGGCCATGGTTCTCACAGTCATTAGCAGGGCCAGTCATCATTCAGTGCACTACCAGCATAGATTTCTCATCATGCCCCATTCACTCAGACATCCTCGGGCAGTTCTTTTGGGCATCAGGAGCAGCAGTTTCGTTAGAGGAGGGGTTGTTTTGAGTGCGTCAATTTTGGTCACATTATGAGAGATTGCCCTAGGTTATTGGGTGGGACTCCATAGCGGAGTACTCTGCCGATGGCACCAGCACCAATTTCTCCATCACCCGCCCAGCCAGCCAAGGGTGGAGCTCAGCCAGCTAGGGGTGGAGCTTAGTCAGCTAGGGGTCGCCTGAGAAGGGGAGGCAGATCAGGGGGTGGCCAGGCACGTTTCTATGCCCTCCCTGCCAAAACAAATGCTATTGCTTCATATGTTGTAATTATAGGTATTGTCTCAGTTTTTCACAGAGAAGCCTCTATATTATTTGACCCTGGTTCCACGTATTCATGCGTTTTCTCGTATTTTGCTCATTTTTTGGATATGCCCCATGAGTCTTTAGTTTCATCTGTTCATGTATCTACTCTTTTGGTTGATACTATTATTGTGGACCGCATATATCGGTCATGCGTGGTGACCATTGGGGGTCTGGAGAGCCGAGTGGATCTTTTGCTGCTTAGTATGGTCAATTTTGATATGATATTGGGTATGGATTAGTTATCTCCATGTCATGTTGTTCTAGATTATCATGCTAAGACTGTGACGTTGGCGATGCCGGGGCTGCCGAGGGTTGAGTGGAGCGGTTCTATAGACTATGTTCCCGGTAGAGTGATTTCATACTTGAAGGCTCAGTGGGTGGTTGAGAAGGGTTGTCTATCCTATTTGACTTTTGTGAGAGATGTTAGTGCAGAGACTCCTGCCATTGATTTTGTTCCGGTGGTATGGGATTTTCCAGATTAAGTGGTAAATGTTTTGGGAAGCTTTGACAGAGGCAACTATCATAGTGGTAATAATTTTAACTCTATGGGACAGAGGCACCCAGGCTTTTCTTGGAGTTTACCATGTGGTAGCATGAACTCATGCCAGCAGAATATCTGAGACCCCAGGGACAAGGAGCTCCAGGATTTCAGAATCAGCAGAGGCAGCAATACCAGCCTCTACAGTCTAATCAGTATAGCATGGAAGATCTAATGAAAGCTTTCATTATTAAAACGGATGAGAGATTGGAAACTCATGGTGCATCTATTCGAAACTTAGAGAGGCAAGTGGGGCAGATTGCTAGTCTGTCGTCTGAGAGGTCTCCAGGAACCCTCCCTACGGATACCGAAAGAAATCCAAAGGAAATAATAAATGCAGTGTTGTTGAGGAATGACAAAGTATTGCAAGATCCGTTGGTAGCAGAGAAGAGTGAGTTTACAAGAAATTAATTTAAGAATGAAGTGAGGGTAGAGCAAGAAGAAGAAGAAGAAGAAGAAGAAGAAGAAGAAGAAGAAGAGAGGGTAAATATATGTCTGCTCTACCTTTCCCGCAGAAGCATAGAAGAGAGGAGTTGGACAAACAATTCGGGCGCTTTCTATTAGTGCTCAAGCAGGTGCATGTGAATATACCTTTCATGGAGGTGCTTTCACAGATGCCATCTTATGCTAAATTCTTGAAGGAGGTATTATCCAAAAAGCAAAAAGTGGAAGAGACATCGGTTGTCAAGCTCACAGAGCATTGTAGTGCCATTCTGCAAAATAAGCTCCCTAAAAAATGTGAAAATCCAAGGAATTTTACTATACCTTGCTCGTTAGGAAGCACTAAATTTAAAAATTATTTGTGTGATTCAATTGCTTCTATTAATCTTATGCCTTTGTCTATTTTCAGGAAATTAGAGGGAGATAATGGAGAAATCAGGTCGATACTTGTGTCCTTGCAGCTAACGGATCATACCACAATCATACCTGAAGGATTAATGGAAGATGTGCTAGTTGGGGTGGACAAATTTGTGTTCCCTGTGGACTTCATTGTGGTGAACATGGAGGAGAATTGGGATATCCCTCAGATTTTAGGAAGACCCTTCTTGGCTACGGGTAGAGCAATTCTGGATATTCAGGAAAGGCAGCTCATGCTTAGAGTGAGAGAGGAAAGGCCGATCTTCAAGATGGAAGGAGAAAGGGGGTCCCGAAAGGAGCAACTTGGAGAGAGTAAAACTAATAAGTGTAGAATGTACCTAGAGAAGGCCGAAAAGAAGCTCTCAGCATGGATGTGTGCATTGGGTCGGGCATGCAAAGGAGATCCTGACTTAGATTTAGACCCCAACTAGATGAATAAGGGAAGTTTCTTTTACCCCTTGCTTGTTATTTTTGTGTCATGTGGACATTTCACAATTTAAAATGTAGGGTGGGTGATGTAAATATGTACATTTGTGTTTGTTTTCGTTTCTTTTGAAAAAAAAAGTTTGACTTTTCCCGACGATGGAGTTCCTCGACTTTCTTCTTGAGGGATAAAAGTCGAAGAAGAAAAACATATTTTGTTTTTCTTAGGTAGTGTAACAATTTCCCCTTGGTTTTTCTTTATGTTGCAGTTCTTTTCCAAGGGTTTTGCTTGAACCGGGTGTAGTTAATTTTTCTTTTATTAAGAATAGTGAAGTCCTATGATATGGTATTAAGTGGAGATGACTTTTCTTGACTTTGTTATGCCTTGAGAGTAGTGAGTTCTTTAGTTGTGATGCCTAGGATCAGTTCTTGACTCATGGATAGGCATCTTAAATTGTTTGATTGTGACTCAGCTTAATTTCTTTGACTAAAGAGTCGGGATAAATCCGGTTCTAAGTGATTTGTGTGCATGTGCATGTCAGTTGATGTCTCGAACTTGCCCCGTGTGTTTGCAAAGCGAAATAATAGTTTTGTTCTGTCTAGGAATTGATAGAGGCGTTTCTTTGTGAGCCAGATATATGCTTTTACCCACCTAACTAATGTGTATCATAGTTAGCCCCTTTGAGCCTGTAATCCTATTTCTTTGGCAACCACACTACAAGTCTGGCCCCTATTATTTGAATTGACTATCTGTTTGAATCTTTTACCTCTCTTGAGCACTTGAATTTGTTATAAGCTTGTAAAAGCTAAGTAAAGGTATGATCAGGTTTTTGAGTGGAACTATTAAGAAGGAGAAAGGTGCACTATGTGAAAAAATTGTGCCACTTGTAGGGAATTGAAAAAAGAAGAAGAGAAAATCAGAATCTAGAAAAAGAAAAAAAATGTTTGTGTTTGTATATGTTATAAAGAAAATTATTCCTTGCTAGTGGTAAATCTTGCTTTGTTTGTGCTTAAAGAAATTAAGATCTTGGTGTTAATATGATGTGAAGGTTAGGATGTGGTTCAACACAAGTGTGGTTTTAAATTGTGAAATTATAAATATTAAAGTGCTTAGGGAGGTGTAGTCACTATATCCAAATGTATCCTACCCGTCCCGCAGTCTACATTACAACCAAAATAAAGTCCTACTTGATCTTTGACTGAATTAGCTCAATTAGTAGAGTATTACACTACGGTAAAGACTTTGATACATTCTCTGTGGCGCATAAATTTTATTTCTGAGAGTGAGTTAATTCTGTCTATCCAGAGTTCCTATTTGTTCGTGAATTTTATTGTGTAGAACTACTCTCTATTGTTTGTGTGAAGGCACATGATTTGCGAATATAAGGTAAAGTCTTTGACCTCTGTGTTAGATTAAGTGAGCAGGTTGTGAAAAATGTGTGGTGCTTTGAGTCGAGTGTTGAGGCTAGGGTATTATGATATGGTACTTAGTTTGTTTTAAATATTCTTGGTATGATGCATTAGGGAAGTTGTTTTATGAGAAGGTCATTTCTATGTGAAGTGTAGTTTGATTGCTCGAGGATGAGCACTGGTTTAAGTGCGGGGTGTTGATGGTAGGCTAGAATCACGTGTTTTAGCCGCATTTTGCACTCTAATTACTGCACTTTGAGCGTGTTTGAGCTTATATGATGGTGATTTGCACTTATTACGTGGTTTATGCTTTGTAGGAGATGATTCTGAGTTAAGAAGATGTTATGGAGCTAAATCGAATAATTTGGAGCTTTGAAGTCTGAGTAAAAGCCCAAGGAATTAAATCGGGATCGTGGACCGTCGTTGCATACGAAAGTTCGAAGAAAGAGCAAGGGCTAGAGAAAAATGTACTAGTGTGTCGCATTAGGTGTGGAATTAAGCGTCGCATTAGTACAGAATTTCGTCAAAAGTTTGAGAAGTTCAGAGATTTGAAGTTTTTGGGTTTGACAAAAAAATACACTAATGCTACGCATAGCGCGTGGCATAGTGCGAGGCATTAGTACAAAATTTTGTCAAACAAGCTAAGTTCAGAGAGTTTACAACCGAGCAAATTGCACTAATGCGACATATCCTGCGTAGCACTGTGCGACGCATGAAGTGTAAAATATTTGTAGGTTTTTCCACTTCGGCACAAAGAGGGTAGTTTTGTCCGTGTTCGTTCCTGCTTGGTATAAATACACTGGAAACGCATTTTTGAAGGGACTTTTGTCCTTGGAAGCTTTGGGAGAGCATTGGAGGCTACAAGAATCAGGATTTAGTCATATTTCCATCAATTCAATACTGGAGTTTGGATTGTAACATTAGATTGATGCTTCCTTATTCTTTATTTATATTTATGATGACTTCCTCCATGATTATGGAGTAGTTCGCTTTAGGGTTTGACGAATATGGTATTTTGATAAATATTTGCGGATTTTAACTCTAGTTCTTACTTGAATTCGTTTATGGAGTTTTGAATTGTTGCAACTTTATTCACCGGTTTATTTAATCGAAAGAGGAATATTTTAGTGATTATTTTTGCATTATTTTGTTTGGTTTAATACATTGATTCTCCTAAGTAATTGAAAGATCTCGTTGAATTTTTTATTAAATCAAGTTAGGAGAATATTCAAGAGACGTTTTCCTAAAGACTAATCCATTAACGCATGCTTGCATACTTTCACAGTGCTTATATTAGTTCACCTCGTAGAGTTAAGATTTAATCGAGAAAGGAGTCTTGACTACACGTTTGAACTAATGATCGAGTGAATTCGTGAGAATCATTAGAACATTAGAGTGCATTGAACTAGAGTTAAATCCCTAATAGTTGTCTTGCACCTATCCTGTCATGACCCTTATTCCTCACATTGATAAGAAACCAACTCTGCTAATATCTAATTCCTTGTAGTCAATTGTCAATTGCTTAACTTTTGTAGTTAATCGTAGTTCTTAATCAATCCAAATCAAGTTTTGATCATCGTGAATAGCAGTTAAACCAGAAATTACTAGAGCATTGTTTAAATCCAATCCTTGTGGAGATGATAATTGAACTATACCTATCTTTGGCTAGCGAGCATCAATTTCGTGTTGTGTTTTGCGCTCGTCACATTAGCGCACGAAAAATTGAAAAATGTTCTGAATTCCTATTTTGACATTGGTTTTAATAAAGATCCGGTTTCATTTTCACATGCTATAGAAAGTAATGAGTCTGAAAATGGATTGATTCCATGAAGGAAGAGTTAAAATTCATGGACTACAATAAAGTCTAGGATCTCGTTGAATTGTTGGAAAGTTATAAAAGAATCGGGTGTAGATGGGTCTTTAAGACCAAACGCGATTCAAATGGCAATATTGAACGATATAAAGTCAGACTTGTTGCCAAGGGTTATACTCAAAAAGAAGGCATTGATTATAAAGAGACCTTTTCACCGGTCTCAAAGAAAGTCTCGTTTAGAATTATTATGGCTTTGGTGGCTCATTATGATTTAGAGTTACACCAAATGGATGTGAAAACTGCCTTTCTTAATGGAGATCTCGAGGAGGAAGTTTATATGAACCAACTAGAGGGTTTCCAAACTAAAAGAAAAGGTCAAATGGTGTGTAAACTGAACAAATCAATATATGGACTTCAACAAGCCTCACGACAATGGTATATAAAGTTTAATGATACCATAACATCTTTTGGATTTGTGAAAAATACCGTTGATCGGTGTATATAACAAAAGATCAGTGGGAACAAGTTTATATTTTTAGTCCTATATATTGACGATATTCTACTTGCTGCTAATGATTTAAGCATATTGCACGAGACTAAAGATTTTCTCTTTAAGAATTTTGAAATGAAAGATATGCGTGAGGTATCCTATGTGATAGGAATAGAAATATTCCGTAAAATCTCACGAGGATTATTGGGATTGTCTCAGAAAGGATATATCGAAAGAGTGCTAGAGAGATTTAATATGAACAACTGTTCAGCATGAATTGTTCCAATTCAAAAAAGGGACAAATTTAGTCTCATGCAATGCCCTAAGAATGATGTAGAACGAAAAAAAATGGAAACAATTTCTTACTCTTCTATTGTTGGTAGTCTGATGTATGCTCAGACTTGAACAAGACCGGATATTAGTTTTGTGTTGGAATGCTAGGAAGATATCAGAGTAACCCAGGAATTAATCACTGGAAAGCTGCAAAGAAAGTTTTGAGGTACCTGAAAGGAACGAAGGATTACATGCTCATGTATAGGAGATCCAAGCATTTGGAAGTTGTTGGATACTCGGATTCAGATTTCGCTGGATGTATTGACATTAGAAAGTCCACATTTGGTTATATGTTCCAATTAGCTGAAGGAGAAATATCATGGAAGAGTGCCAAACAGTCTGTCATTGCTACATCCACGATAGAGGCAGAATTTGTGGCATGTTTTGAAGCCACAATTCATGCATTATGGCTGCGAAACTTCATTTCAGGACTTGGGGTTGTCGACACCATTACCAAGCCGCTGAAAATTTACTGTGATAATTCCGCAGCAGTATTCTTCTCCGAGAATGATAAGTACTCCAAATGTGCCAAACATATGGAATTAAAGTACTTTACCGTCGAGGAGGAAGTTCAGAAACAAAGAGTGTCACTTGAGAATATTAGAATTGATCTCATGATTGCAGATCTGTTAACGAAAGGTTTACAACCAAAGATATTTAAGAAATATGTACATAGAATGGGTCTTGGCTGTATATATGATTGATGTATTTATGATGTTTTGACACTTTGAGCTCATTTATATATTTCTGATATATATTAATGATTTTCTGTTTCTCATAATAGTGTACACATTATTGTTTTGAGATATTAGAGGATAAGTTTCAATGAGACACTATTGTGTACCATAATATTTTATAGCTTATGGACCTAGTACGATGAGTTGCTAATGTTGTAGTATATGGAAGGGAGTATGTAGACAAATTATATATAACCGCCATAACTCACATTTAGTAGTTTATCG